CAACAGAAAACAGCAGAAAGGCTGATGACTGAATGAAGGATTGCTGCGTCCCTAAATACATGAAATACACTTGTTTTGTGCAAATTGAAATTTTTAGATTCTATTTCATGGTCTTGAAAATTAGCCTCTGTCCAAGTTTTATTTCAGTCCATGTCAAAAAAACTTAGTCTCAGACTGTCTTTAAATCTTAACTCTTAACAAGAGGCTCTCAAGAGCCTGAATCGATCACCTGTAATTTTTTGGTTAAATCTTTCATCAATGATTATGTATGCTTTTCAATATATATCAATGAGTGGCTTAAAAATTCCATTTAAATGTTCTTTGTATCTGTCATATTTTCTTCAAAAGCAAAAAAAATGCATTTTACCCCTATGTTCCATTTTAGCCATAGTGGCTTTGTTTCTTGAATTACAAGGAAATAAAATACAAAACTTATACTAAATACTCCCAAGTTTGGCTGAAATTGATTCAGCAGTTTCAGGAGAAGATTTTTTAAAGTAAGCAAACTAGATGAACAAATTGTGAAAAAGTTCTTTAAAGGGCAAAAACTCCTTAAGTGGTCAAATGACAATTTTGGTCATTAAACTTATTTGAAGATCTTACTTTGTTGAACTTTTTAGCTGTTTACAGTTTATCTTTGTCATTAATAATATTCAAGATATGACCAAAAACTGCAAAATTTCCTTATAATTACCAATTTAGTGGCAGCAACCCAACAATGGGTTGTTAGATTCATCTGAAAATTTTAGAACTGATAGAACTTGACCTAATGAACATGTTTACCTAAATTAAATTTGCTCTAAATGCTTTAGTGTTTGATATATAAGCCAAAAACTGCATTTTACCCCTATGTTCTAATTTTAGCCATGGCGGCCGTGTTGTTTGACAAAATAGAAAATAAAACACATACTTTATTCTAGATATCCTAAGGATCATTCAGCTTAAGTTTGGCTGGAATTGGTTCAGTGGATTAAGAGGAGATGTTTGAAATAGTTAACACCGGACGGACGACGACGCCAAGTGATGGAACGGTGAACTAAAAAACTACGTCCGTTCTATCAGAAATATACTGAAAATGAAAAATAAACAATTTGTACCCTCGAGAGCGATAACGAGGCCACTTTCCATAAATTTAATATTTTTAAGGGTAATAACTCTTAAAAAAGTCGATTGGCCACCAATATAATTGAGCTGCGTCGGATAGAAATCGACCTTATGCAAGTACACATATACGTGTACATGTATACGACTTTGATTAATTATGGAACATTCAAAAACGAAATAAAAGATAAATGTCAGTCTGGTTTGTAGGGTTCTTATAACAACTCAATTTTCAAACAGTAACAGACTTTCCGTTGAGATTTTTCATCCCGAGATAGGTTAACAGATATATTGATATTAATGTGCATAAGGTCGATTTCTATCCGACGCAGCTCATATAACTTGTTTGAGATGTTGCTTATATTAACCTAAAGTATTAGTTTCATAAAAATCTGACAAGATTTGTACATGTGAGAGCGCTGCAAGGACCGGACAGACAGACAGACAGACAGACACACGAACAGCCAGATGGACACAAGGACGGACGGCAATCAAAATTTTAAGCAGACCATGTTTAAGTTTAAAATTTTAAGTTCTAATATTGATTATTATTTTTTTGGCAAAAAAAAATAAAAAAACAAAAAATCGGTCTTTTGTCTTAAATCAGTGGTTTTGATAAGAAAATAACACTCTGTAAAAATTAGACCAATGGGACAGTTATTAAGTTTGGTACAGTTTTCCAATTTCATTATATATGGAACATTTAATACATTACCTTGTATTGTTTCTTTTGTTGACTAGTATACTATTGCGCAGAGTCAGATTATGTACACATAATGGCTGTTACTATTTACCTCCCATGTAATTCGACATGTATAAAAACCTTTATGCAAACACTTATTTGTCACTTTGTCGATTTAACTGTGTCAAAATTGAAATTAAAGGAGAACTACAGAACCAGGGGCGGATCCAGCCATTTATAAAAGGGGCGGGGGGGGGGGGTTCCTAACCCAGGATAAAAGGGGGTTCCAACTATATGTCCCCATTCAAATGCATTGATCGTCAAAAAAAGGGGGGTTCCAACCCCCAGAACCCCTCCCCCCCCTTTGGATCCGCCACTGAGAACCGTTCTTCCTATTACATGTGAATAATATATATTGAATCTAACTTATGCAAAAGTCACACTTACCAAATGTGTACTTTATGTAAGTTTTGTGGTCATAAGTATTGTGTAAAAGTTTCATAACAATTGGTTGAGGCAAACTAAAGAAACGAAAAATTCAGCAACTTTTTCCCTTTGTAAAGAGGCATGGCTCTAGAACAGTAAAAGTGACACCACCAAAATTCAAACTTTTTTTGTGTATAATTTAAATAACATTTGGTAAAGACAAACTAAAGTTAGAGAACGGAAACGAAAAATACAGCAATACTTCTATTTGTAAAAGGGCATAACTCTAGAACGGTTAAAGTGACACCACCAAAATTCAAACTTGGTCTGTGTTTTGTGGTAATAAGCAATGTGATTAAGTTTCATAACATTTGGTTGAGGCAAACTAAAGTTAGAGAACAGAAACCAAATTTGGGACGTACAATGGTAAACCTTAATGCCCCCTCCGCCACGGCAGGGGCATACAAATGTGTAAATATAACAATTGATAAAATTGAGTAAAATTCCATAAATGATCTTTGCACATGGTGGTCCTAAGGTTTTGAGAATCAAAACAGTATATACTAGTTAGGACCAGCAAATTTTCCTCAGGGCTCACAAGGAGAATATGTTTTGAGAACTATAAAGATGCGATAACTCTGCCTTATACAAATAATAATTCAGTTAGGTTATTTAAAAAAAAAAATTGATAGACAAGCTGTCCTTTTCCATTATTTACCATACAAACATTGACAAAGTCTTGCACAGTTTAAGATGATCGTTGGTATATATTTCCTCAGATAGAACACGTAGAATTTGTATGCCCCACCGTAGCGAAGGGGGCATTAAGTTGTACCCTTGTTCGTAAGTACGTCCGTTCTAGAGTTATACACATTTACAAATGGAAAAATTGCTGACTTTTTTGTTTCCGTTCTCTATCTTAAGTTAGCCACAACCAAATGTTTTGAAACTTTTACACAATGCTTATTACCATAAAATACAGATCTAGTTTGAATTTTATTGGTGTCACTTATACTGTTAATGAGTTATGCCCCTTTAAAAATGGAAAAATTGCTGAATTTTTCGTTTCCGTTCTCTATCTTTCGTCTGTCTGACATAGTTCATCTTACCCTGACCTCATTTTCTTAGAACATTGATAATGTTAAGTTAATATGATACTTGTATTAAAATCTTTATATAACAGAGTTTCAAAAGTAATTCATTGATAAATAAAACCAACCAGACATTTCAGGGTGTGCATTCTTGTTTAGCAGATCTTAGTCTAGGGCAATTTTTTTTTAAATTGTTCATTAAGATTTGTTTTACAGACAATCATGTTATGCTCATTGTTGAAGGCTGTACGATTACATGTGGTTGTTCATTTCTATGTCATTTGGTCTCTTGCGGAGAGTTGTCTAATTGGCAATTACAACACATCCTCTCATTTTTATACACAGACTTAAATGTTTTTTGGAGTTCAATATTATTCTTTTTCACTAACAGCATCAATCCCAGGCACGACAACGGGTTATGCGTATTACCATTTTTTTCAAACTTCTGAGAAATCTTACATATAACTAGAGAAGTAATGTTATGCTTAAATTCTTAAAATGCTTAGTTCACAAGTAAACACAATAAGATTCCACATTTTTTTCAACAAATTTTATAATTTTGAAAAAAATGATTTTTTTTTTTCCAAAAAAAAAAGGGGGGTGCACCATACCCAGAGTGATGAGTTTTCGTTTTGTACAAGTATATCTTCATTAATCATATATTCTAGTTTAAAATTAACAAATGTGTGTCAGAATTGCACATACAAATGGAATATTTTAGTTTTTAAGTTCAAAATGTTTGATTATTTATCTGTTTGGTAATCTGAATTTTGGTGAAAATTGACAATTTTTGACTAAAATTATTTTTTTAAAGAAGAAAAAAACACACGACTTTCTTTTTATTTTATGAATATATAGAATGTTGTCTTTCAAAATTTGTCACTGACATGTAATTGTATTGTTGGTCTTGGGAGATAAACAGATTTAAAATTTAGGAGTTTTTGAAATTTATCATTTTCGAATTTTAACACATTTTTAAATGGTTGCTATGGAAACAAACTATGTAGTAAATTCAAAATTTTAACGTTTTTGTACAGTTTGTGGTGTTGCTTGTCAATACTGTAAATATACTTATTGTTTGTATTGATTAACTTTATTTCAATGGTTCTTTAAAATCCCTTATATTTCAACTTTCAAAGGCTACTTTTGTACGTATTTTGGCAAATTTTGTAAGATGGTTTCCATGGCAACGAAGGTTCAAAAGAAAAAAATTAATATATGAAACTTATTTTCATACCATACCTTCTGCATAAACAAAATATAAAAACATTTGAAGAGGGGTCATGGATCGCTCATCAACAGGAACCTGCATGATTCTTACAAAGACAGGTACTTAAACATTTTCTGACGTGAAGATAACTATTTTTACCAATTCAATATGGAATAAATGAGTCACTGACTACATATGTCTTTGTTATTCATAATGGTATCTTCTTTCCTATTTATCATGTTTATACAACAATAAGGTATATAAAGATTGAAAAAGACAACATATGTTACATGTATATTACATTTCAAAAAATAGATTTCAGCATGCAAAATTAAATACATTATGATTGATTGATTGGTGATTGCTTTACGCCGCATCAGCACAAAAAGGCTATATCGCATCGCGGCGAAAATACATTATGTACCAACCTTAACAATAAATAACGATCTATGAACATGTGTTCAGGATGTGTGTAGGTTGATTTGTTCAAAACATCAATACAAATGCTATCTAATTTAATGGTGACTAACACGTAATTCTGATATAGTCGATTAAGTTTTTTTTTTAAAAGCAATTACTTTTCCGGATATATAAATACTTAGCAGCATTCATCTTGGATATCTGCTAAAAACTTTTTCGCAGTATGATGCACCTTCTGCTGTTTGTGTTTTTTCTTATCGTAGGGCTGTCTTCAACTGTAGATGGGTATTGTTTTGTGATGCCACCAACAGGTAAACTGTAATAATTCATTTTTAAGTTAAGTTATAATGATGGTGATCATAACGAACATAACACAAACCGAGTTTTTATCTTTTTGTTTCCATTTTACTTTTGATACAGTTTAAAATTGTAGTTGTATTATAACTTACATATTATATGGATCTTCAGCTTTTAAAAATTATTTTCGTCAAATGAAATATACACCTCTCTGTAAGCACAAGAACCCTTTAAACAGAAGAAATATATCATTCACTTCACTTTCGTATCTACGCTGCAGCTAATATCATACATCACCACAGTTACAGTATATCGGAGCTACTACAATAACGATCAACTAATTATTTTTATTTAAAAAAAGAATGTTCAAAAAATATATTTTACAAAGATCAAATGGGTTTTTAGGGTCGATGTTGCGTAAAAATGTTGACTGTTGCAAACATTATGGAAGTACCCTTCGTGCAGATGAAATGAGGGTCCTGCATTTGTTTTATATAATACTAAAAATTATCTTCGACTTATCTATTTTTAGTGTCCTATTGGTATCATCTGCCATTTCTTATACATCTTTAAATGGCACGATCAATAAAACTGGTTATGATTTTCATGTTACATATATGCAAATACGCATGTATTACCTAGCTTGCGTTATCCAAGTTAGCTAATATTAGTTAACCTCGTAAAAAGAAAAGTTACAATCAGATTCGCTTCTATATTTTTAATAACACTTTGAATTTTTCGAAATACTAAGGATGTTCAACATAAGGAGTTGATTACCTAAGCTGTCTTTGACAAAACCTTTTGGAATTTGGTTCTCAATTATCTTAACTTCTTACTTTGTTTTGCCTACACAGACATGAATTATCATTGATACGGACACAATGGATAAGCGTTAGTACGCTAAAAAGTATCTCAAACACATACATTTTGTAGCTTATGAAGTTATGCAAAAAATCACTCTGATTCAAACATTCACATTTTGCAGCTTATGTAAAAAATCACTCTAATTAAAAAAAAACTTCTCTGAAATTGACATTATCAAGATGCTTGATTTCTTCATTGAAAATATATTTGTTACGTTTGGAGGACGTGTTTTTCAAAAAATAATCGTCATTCCCATGGGAACAAACTTTGGTGACTATGTTGAACGCATCTATCCCATCGAACTTGAAATAAAGGATACAACAGATACAGTTAAGTCTGTCTCATATCTTGACTTACATCTAGCAATTGGCAATGAGGGTTAATTGAAAACTAAACTTTTCGACAAAAGAAACGATTTCAGCTTCCCAATTGTAAACTTTCCATTTCTATGGAACAACTTTCCAGCAGCGCCTGCATACGGAGTATATATCTCCCAGTTGATACGTTATTTTTAGGCTTGTGTTTCTTATCATGACTTCCTTGATAGAGAGTTGCTGCTCACAAGGAAGCCATTAAACCAAGAGTTCCAAGTGGTGAAATTGAAATTATCCCTTCTTACATTTTACGGACGCCATCACGAGTTGGTTGACCGTAATATAATATCTGTTTCACAGGTGACGACGGATAATTGTCGTAACTGCAATCTTGTCCCCTTCCCCAGAATGTGATCTACCGAATTAGACATATCACCGGGTTTGTACTTACATGAGCAACACGACGGGTGCAACATGTGGAGTAGGATCAGCTTGCCCTTCTGGAGCACATGAGATCATCCCCAGTTTTTGGTGGGGTTCGTGTTCCTCAGTCTTTGGTTTTCTATTTTGTTTTGTGCACTATTGTTTGTCTGTTTGTCTTTTTCATTTTTAGTCATGGCGTTATCAGTTTATTTTCGACTTATGAGTTTAAATGTTCATTTGGTATCCTCCGCCGTTCTTTCTCTTATGCCCCTTTAAGCCAGATAGTGTTGGCGATATAAGCAAGTGCAACTTCTGTGCAAATAAAATTCTGACTGAACTAATACACTGCTACTTTTTGCTAATTTCTATACAAAATATCTGTAGTACTGGAAATTTACTTTTAATATTTAGTACTATTTCTTGACTTAAACGTTATTGCAATATTTAGGTACCTATATTTTACAGTACTTGATTTGTACTTAAAATTTTGGTTCAATAATAATACCAACAGTGATCGCAATATTCCATGTTTGAAAATAATAACTTTAAGAGATTTGAAATAGACAACCTTTCAAAATGCTGAAAAATGTAACGGTGTAACCAAAAATCTGTAGTAATTAAATTTCAAGTTCAAATCAAGTAATGTAAAATACAGGTAACTAAATATTACAATAACTTTAAAGTAACAAAATAGTACTGAATATTAAAAGTAGTTTTCCAGTACTACAGAATTTTGGTACAGAAATAGTACCTATGCAAAAGTAGCTGTGTATACAGATCACAATGCCACTCTGTTATTTCTGAATAAATGATTAAAATTCAGGTTTTTGAATTACATTCTTTTTTTTCAATGTATCTTTGTTTGAACAGTATAAAATTTTGAATGTTTCCTCAAGTAATTATTATATGGTGAAAATTCATAACGGGTAGTAGAGTAAATTAGTTGACCTTCACAGCAACTGATCAGGTGTGCTAGTCACATAAATATACATTATGATTTGAACATCAACCAATATAAAAAATAAGGAGATGTGGTATGATTGCTGGGACACCAAAGTTCAAATAAAGTGGATGTAAGCAATTATAGGCAATCGTACGGCCTTCGAAAATGAGAAAAACCCATACCGTATAATCGGTTATAAAAAGCCTCGACATGAACAATATGAAACAATTCAATTAAGAAATCTAACAACTTTATTTCTAACAAAACAATTTAAGGAAAAACAAATATGACAGACACGATCCAACGGCAACCACTGAATTATAGGCTCCTGATTTGGGACAGGCACATAAAAATTTGGCGGGGTTAAAGATGTTTGTGAGCACTCAACCCTCCCCTTAACCTGGGACAGTGGTGTTACAGCACAACATAAGAACAAACTATAAAAATCAGTTGAAAAAGGCTTAACTCACCAGATGGTGTTTTTTTAATTTAACTGGTTTACAGAAAAATTCAATCGATTTTTGTTGCTCTTATGATAAATGAATCAAAGGAAACACTTGAACATTAATTGCTGTCGTATCGTGTTGACGGATATCTGGTCGAGAACAAAGGAAAAAGTAAATAAACTCATTATTAAACCAGGCGTAAAGTTTTGTACGCCAGACGCGCGTTTCGTCTACAAACCCACATCAGTGACTCTCAAGTAAAAGAGTCAAAAAGGCTAAGATGAAGAGCATTGAGAACCTTGAGTAACTGTTCTAGATCTTTGATAAAGGTAAAAATTAAAATCACAAAAATTCCGAACTCCAAGGAAAATTCAAAACATACAGTCCTTTATCGAATGGCAAAATCAAAAGCTCAGACACATCAAACGAATAGAAAACAACTCTCATATTCCTGACTTGGTACAGGAATTTCCTTAAATTGACAACAATGTGTGTGCAAAACAAATAGACATAATGGTAAAAATGTCAAAAAATTGGGGAACAGCAGTCAACAGTGTGTTATAATCTTAATCATATAAAAACAAATAACTATTTCAACAAAGAAAAAACAAAATGACGTTAGACACTCTTTAAACAAAGTACATAAGCAAAAATGAAAGACAAAGAGTACAAAAATTGCCATAGCACAATAACACAATGGCGGGATGTATAAATACCTAGCCACGCCAAAAGTATTTTACCAAAAATGGACTAAACAGTAAAGGTTAAAAATATACAAAGACAAATTAAAAGAACTTTAAAACACGTAACTAAGATGATAAACAACTTCAGTACCTAGAATCTATACTTCAAGACCATCATGTAATATTTGTGAAGTTGATACGGAATATTTATCACCAAGGTATTGGTATCTTCCGATGAAAATTTTAGAAAAAGAACAAAACGTTCTTTGACATAACCCTGGTTCATCAACTTTCTGCGCAGACACTGGTGACGTTTTATAAAGTCTGAGTAGCATAATTTCAAAATTCAAATCGTCTCGTTTGTCCTAGATTCTGGTACTGAGATGACCACTTACGTCAAATTCGAGGTGTAAGTCTAAAATGAGGCGGATGAAGCCGTGTCTGTTGTTTCTTTAATTTCTAGTATTGGAGGATATATTAATGGAACCCAATCAGAAAAGTTTTAATTGTTAATGGAAAGAACATCATCAATATATCTGAATGTGAAATTAAATGATCTGCCTTCTTTGATCATCTTGATTTTGATAAGTGTCTGAAGGAACTCCGACTCATATGAAAATAAGAAGAGGTTGGAAAGGAAAGACGCAAAGGTCCTTCCCATAGGAATGCCAACTTGTTGAAAAATTATGAAACTCCAGCATTCCGATCATTTGTTCCTCTGTGTAGCATGTTTTACCTATTTGTTCACTATTTACAAAATATGCCGTAGTGTATCCCAAAGCAATAAATTTATAGCGTATGCTACCATTTTTATATTGAAAAGCATTATGGATTATTTTTTTAGACGATATTTCAATTTCACATGGGGAATGGTTGTATACAGGGTTGCAAAAATCAAAGTTTTAATGAAATTGATTTCGAGAAAGATCGAGATTTTTACAACTATGCAACAGATATTGCCCAACTTTCTGAAATGTTTGGTTTTACATGCACTTCAACTTTGTTATTTGAGTTTGACCTTCATATTACTATTAGACGAATACTTTGCTTTAAATGATTGTAACAGTTATTTGATCAGTCGTTTTTTGTTTTTTGTTTTCTTTAGATTGTTTCTACAAAGGAAAAATAATAAAAGATAAAACAGGTTATATATCTACCGAAGAATGTATCAACTGTAGCTGTACGAAAGGATCCCTGCACTGCTGCTCGTAAGTTGTTTTTTCTAGGTGTCATATTGGTTTCATTTCGACAATTAATTATATTTTACTGTGCATGCACTTTTCTGATGTACTTATTATCTCGAATTTGATACTGTTGATTGTTTTGCGAGTATTCAATTTCGCAGTACATGTATTTTCAAAAATATAAAAACCTTAAATGACAGACTAAAAATATTCATTTTCATTTTCGGATAACATTAAATGATGATTTGTTAGAGCTATATGTCGGGATAAATGTAGTATTAACATTTGGTACAAATGTACAACTAATCTTGAATCAATCCTAATCCTATCTTATTTTTGGGAAATATTTTTACAAATTCATATGTGACGTCACTTTGTGTGTTTTTTTTAGAATTTCAAATGTGACGTCACTTTGTGCGTTGAGACTTAAGCTAACTCGGCTGTGTATTTTTATATGTTGGATTAAGTTGTTTTATGCAATGTATCCGTTTTTATTCTGTAGTTAGTCCCCACTTTGGTTTTATCATGTATATCTATTACATAGTCATTTTATAAAATTTACTGTTTGCAAAATTATAAATTATTCTAAATAATAAGGATGTTCTTGTCCCAGGCAGAAAATCCTGGCCGTGTTAGGCGCAACTTTTTGGAAGTTTTGGTCCTCGGTGCTCTTCAGCTTTGTACTTGTTTTGGCTTTCAAACTTTTTTTATCTGAGAGTCACTGGTTGGTCTTGTGTGGACGAGACGCACGTCTGGCGTATTGAATTTTAAGCCTTGTACCTTCTGCTAGCTATTATTCGTGTGTTTCTTTGTCCTATATGTTCTCCCATTTGTTTTTATTGTGGTCCTGTCATGTGATGTTGTCGTTTTGGTGTTGTGTTTGACGTTGCCATAAAAGCGGGAGGTTTGGCATGCCACAAAACCAGGTTCAACCCACCATTTTTTTCTTAAAATGTCCTGTACCAAGTCAGGAAAATGGCCATTGTTATATTATAGTTCGTTTCTGCGTGTGTTACATTTTAATGTTGTGTTTTTGTTGTGTCGTTGTTCTCCTCTTATATTTGATGCGTTTCCCTCAGTTTTAGTTTGTAACCCGGATTTGTTTTTATCTCTATCGATTTATGAGTTTCGAACAGCGGTATACTACTGTTGCCTTTATTTATCTGTCTTCCGACCTGTCTTCTTACCTATTGTTCGTTTTTAACTTTGTGTTTTATATATTTAAGTCTTTCCACTTTTCTGTGGAAAGACCTATTGGTTTTCTTCTGATTATTAGGTCTTTCCACTTTTCTGTGGAAAGACCTATTGGTTTTCTTCTGATTATTAGGTCTTTCCACTTTTCTGTGAAAAGACCTATTGGTTTTCTTCTGATTATTTTTTTTTTTTTCTTCCGCCTAATTTTGTTCTTGCGATAAATTTTTGTTTCGCAAGATGTCGCTTAGATGTTTCGTATATGATATCGAACAGTTTATGCGCCTTTGAAATTGACCCTGCTTAATCGAATACTTTTCTTTGTAGGAGTTATCTCCCCGAACACTGTTTTCCTTGTGCATGCATCTCCTCCGTAACCGTAAAAGAAAGCGACAAATTTATTTTACCAAATTGCTCGTTATATCCTCAGGATGTTTTGTTCATTTTTTGACCGAAGCGATACGTAAACTCCATATGACAGTTATTTCCCCTTCTGTATTTGACATAAGGGATATATAAATGTATAGCATGAATGGTAAGTGATAGAGACCTAAGGTATATTGATTTGAGTTCCTTGGTTCATTTAAATGAAATTGAAGCCAAGGTCAAAGATCAAGGTCATATTCTTAATTTTGACTTTTCCTTGTAATTTGATCTCCTCTGTCACTTTTAAAATTAGAAATTAAAGAACTAGTGCAAAATGTTTGCTTAATTGTGATTAAGATATGATACATTTGGTCTGAAACAATCCAATGATATCTTATAGGAGTTATTGTCCCTGAAATGATTCAATTTAAGGTTAATTGATTATTACTCCAACTTGGTACATGATAAAGCCATAGGGTCTTTTGCAAACTGTTGGTTGACATATGACCTTGAAAAAGGTAAACCGGAAGTGACCATGAGTGAACCGGAAGTAGTATTTTTTGCACTTATTTCATGGAAAAGTACCTAGAAACCATATATTTTTTGAATGATCATAGGTTAACCTATCATTTGAGACCAGAAGTGACATTTTATATACCGGAAGTAGCATATTATCTTCCTTATTACAGGCATAAGTATATACAAACTATATATTTTTTGGAATCAGTGTGAATAAAGCTATCATATGAGACCGGAAGTGACACTTTCTAAACCGGAAGTTGGCAATTATCTCCCTTATTTCAGGCAAAAGTATATAGTAACCATTTATTTATTGAATCAGTATGAAGAAATCTATACTTTGACGCTATTAATAACTTTGAGTAAACCAGAAGTAGCTTCCTATCAATTATTTAGAAAATTGATGTGGAAAGACCTTCAATTGTTCTTTGAACAATTGGTTTTTAATTATTATTATTTTTTTCTTCTTCCGCCACTTTTTTCTGACGGTGCTTTTTTGTTTCGCAAGATGTCGCTTAGATTTTTTGTGTATGATATCGAGCAGATATTGCGATTTTGAAACTGACCGTGTTTAGCCGAATACTTTTTATTGTAAGAGTTATCTCCCCAAACACTGTTTTTCTTGTGTACGCATCTCCTTCGCAACCGTAAAAGATTATGAAAAATTTATGTCTCCAATTTGTTCGTTATATCCTCAGGATCTAAAGAATAATTTTGACCGAAGCGTTCCAGAAACTCCATGTGAGAGTTATTTCCCCTTCTATATTTAAAATAAGTAAAATGTAATTGTAATTGGTAAACCGTAAGTGATAGGGACCTAGGGTCTTTTGATTTGAGGTCCTTGGTCCAAAAAAAAAGAAAATAGGGTCAAGGTCAAAGGTCAAGGTCGTTTTTAAATTTGGATTTTGGCTTATTTTCACCTCTTTTCAAACACGATATAAGATATCGACAACGTATTTTTACTTAATTGTTAGTTGCGACATGTCATAACACATACATATCGGTTTAAAGGGTACAATTACATCAAATTAGAGTTTTCTCCCCTCTTTTATTTAAAAATATGCATATGGCGATATAACTCATGAACCAAATATAATTAAGTCCTAGGGTCTTTTGATTTTTGGTCCTTGGTTGATGACCTTGAAATTGAGCTCAAGGTCATAGGTTAAATTGACGTTCTAGATTTTGACCTTTGCTTTTACCTAATATGTATACATGATAAATCCATGGGACTTTTTGCATTAGGTTTCAAGCCATTTAACCTTAGAAAAGCCAACCGGAAGTGACCTTTGGTATCAGTTTCAATTAAACGTTTGAATAATACCGGAAGTAACATTTTGTAAACCAGAAGTAACAAATTATCTCCCTTATTTAAAAAATATTGTATAGAAACCATATTTTTTTGGAATCAGCGTTCAATAAGCTATCATTTGAAACCGAATTTTACTATTTCCAAATTAAAATACATGTTTTTTTTGTGGAAAGACCTTCAATTGTTCTCTGAACAATTGGTTTTTAATTTAATAAATAATTTTTACCACCTGAAAACCACCCCTGTCAAATACCTTCACTAGCACAATTACTATTTATTTATACTAAACCATCAAATACAGGAATAGATAACCTAAACTGTATTTGGCAGAATCTTTCGGAATTTAAGGTCCTCAATGTTCTTCCAACTTCGTACTTTATTTGGCCTATTTAACTTTTTTGATTCGAGCAACACTGATGAGTCTTTTGTAGACGAAACGCTGGTCTGACGTTCAACATTTTAATTCTTGTATATATGATGAGTTAATTCACATGTATAAAACTATATTGTTTCTTTCAGTATCGGCATGGGCATCTCTAGCACACCTGCTGATTGTAATACTTAACCATCTAATACCCTTCATATGTATAAAACTTTACTTTCTGTTTCAGTATTGGCGGGTACATCACTAGTCATTCTGCTAATTGTAAAGTGGTACCTGATGGACCTTGTTCGCAAAAGGCTGTCCTTATTACTGACGAAAAACAGCCGTGTCCAGGAGGAATTGCCATGGTTGGGCGTTGAATTTGAATAAATGACCTATCTTATTTAATATCGTAGTTATAAAATTGTTTATGAAATTGTTTAGTGATGTAAATAAGCCTGTATAACTTCTAATATATTCATATTTTTTTCCTCAATGCATATTAACATACATTTTGTACCATACTGATTGGTTCTTTGCGTCCGTCGTCGTTCGTTAACTTTTACAAAAAACTTTTCCTCTGAAACTACTTTACCAAATGAAACCAATATACACAATATGTCCGATGATCCCGCCTACCAACAATCATGGCTGCCAAGATTTAAAATAGAACATAGGTGGTAAATTCTAGTATTGTCTATAATCTTATAAACCATTATAAATAAAGAAAATCTGACATAGAAAAAATGTTCAGAATGTCAAAATCTACCAACTATTTATATAGACTGTCAGACGACTTCTTATGAGGATTTTTGCCATTTTTTCGATTTAAGTAGAAAGAGAAAACTACAAAATGCCAAATATTATTGCTTTTGTTGTCAGTAAATTAAAACCAAACTAAATACTATTGATATATACATATGCAACTTCACGGTTCTATTATCTGTCGATACCTGTATTTTGGCACGGTACAAGGTCATGTTTTTACTTTGGCTGTTAATGACGTCTTTATACTATATCCATTGGATGTTGGATGTGTACTGATTTATATTTTAGTCTTAGATACATGATTTCTTTTATTTTTGTTATTGGCTTTGAACTAGCTGTCAGTAACTTCGAATACTCTCAGATCTGTACTTTGTGTCTATTTTGTTGTTAGGGATGTATAAATACCCGGTCTGTGTTTTTGTATGTTGTTTTTCTGCTTTGTATCGATTTAATGATTTAAGCCTTTTTCAACTGATTTTTGTAGTTTGTTCTTATTTCTTATGTTATACTGTTAAACCACTGTCCTATGTTAGAGGGAGGGTTTGGCTTGCCAGCAAACATGTTTTACCCCGCAACATTTTAAATGTGCCTGCCCCAAGTCAGGAGTCTATAATTCAATGGTAGGCATTTGTTGCTGTATATCATATTTTTTGTTCGTTCATTGTTTTGTAAATTAATCTGGCCGTTAAGTTTCTCGTTTGAATTGTTTTACATTTGTTATTTCGGGGCCTTTTATATCTGGCTATGTGGTATGGGTTTTGCTCATTGTTGAAGTCCGTATGGTAACCTTTAGTATTAACTTCTATGTCATTTGGTCTCTGGTGGAGAGTTGTCTCATTTGCAATTATACCACATCTAATAATTTTCAAATGATTCATATTGCTTAAATTACTTTTGTAACGTTAAAACCATATGTAATTTTTCATTATCTAAACTTTGCTGTCACACCTTGTCAAGTCTTTTCTAGAGAACCGATCACCCATTTGATTTATCGAATCCGTGGTCCGTTCATTTTGGTTTGCCTGTTGCTACATGCGAGATTGAAGTGGCGTAGCTTGACCCTTATTTCTATTAAAGCAAACAATTCGAGTTGTAGAAGTCAAGGCCTCGTCGCGGTTCAATTCCGTTATTTCGTCCAATCAGAATTAAGATTTGTGACATCATGCGTGCCGTTACTATAGTGAAGCGTCTTTTTTAAATGGGTCACAAACCAAAATTATACTGACTGCGTCAGAAAAAATTAAAAACTGGCACGAATAGAGCACGAAATAATGATACATGTACTTGTTACACGAAAAAACGAATATTCATACATGTAGGTCAAAGTATGATTTCCAATACAGTGTTGATCAATAAGATTTTCAAACTCCTACACACGAATATGTTAAATCGGGCTTGTTTTAAAAGTGTTATGAAAAGTTTTGCATTATTTAATTCATCTCACATCATGTGCCTTTATTGTAGCGAACAAAACTTTACATCATTTGTTTCGAAATTTAAAAAGTGGGTCAACGACAATTTTTGGTATTTCAGGCTTATAAACGGAGAAAAGGAATGTTTCTGTCTTAAACCTATCGAAGATGGAACATTAAAAAGTAAAACACCCGATTGGCAACAACACACGATAACTATCAAACGAATTAAATGTTGAAGTAAATCATAGTTTGCATTTTAATCAGGGAAAATAATGACCTTACACAGGTCATTATTTTATGCCTTGAAGCATATTTCATTGAAACTTGGTATCGTCCGGGTTGATTCTTCGAAAGAATGACCTATCGTTCTGAAAGAAAATAACTCCATATAGGTATATAAATATCAATTATTTGAAGTGGGTTAGAATTATAAATTAACAAAAAAAATCAGATATTTACGAGGGAAGGTATTTAAACTAAGACAGTACTTTATCTAAGCAAATATAACTGACAGAATCGTGATCATCTTTAAAACTTTTTTTGTACGGATTCGATAATATTTTAAATTTGAAATCAGCAATGACTTGTAACTTTATATATGCACCTATAATGGTTTACTTTTATAAATTTTGATTTGGATGGAGAGTTGTCTCATTGGCACTCATACCACATCTTCTTATATCTATATAGATTTATATATAGGTACCATTCCGATGCACCTGAGATCACCCCCGGTTTTTGGTGGGGTTCGTGTTGCTCGGTCTTTAGTTTTCTGTGTTGTGTTTTGTAGACTGGCGTTGGTCTTTTTGTCTTTTTCGTTTTGTGTCATGCATTGTCAGTTTATTTTTGCCTTTTGAGTTTTAATGTCCATTTGGTATCTTTATCCTCTCATTTATAACTACATCATATGAATAAAGGAAGAAAAGCACAATTGGTTCAAATAGGAGTATCAACTTTCTGTTAATAGTTAATAGTCCATCACGGTAATTCAAGCATCATGTCAGTTCACAGTCGTAATATTTGTAATTAGGATGATGAACAACGTCAATACTTCAAGACCATCATGTTTTAATCGTGAAGTTGATACGGAATATCTATCAACAAGGTCTTGGTATCTTCCGATGAACTTTTATTGAAAAAGATAGAGACGTTCTTTGACATAACCCTGGTTCATCAGCTTTCTGCTCAGACACTGGTGACGTTTTATAAAGTCTGGGTTGCAGCTGCAAGCTCTTGAATACGGAATGAGTTGGGAAATGTATATCCCATATGCAGGTGAAGTTGATATATTGCTACTAAGGAGGGGGAAATTGATGATTTCAAAACTAAAATCGTCTCGTTTGTCAAAGATTATGGTACTGAGATGACCGCTTATGTCAAATTCGAAGTTTAAGTCTAAAAATGAGGCGGAGGAAGCCGTGTCTGTTGTTTCTTTAATTTCTAGTTCTGGAAGATATATTAATGGAACCCAATCAGAAAAGTTTGGATTGTTAATGGAAAGAACATCATCAATATATCTGAATGTGAAATTAAATGATTTGGCTTCTTGACAAGTGTCTGAAGGAACTCAAACTCATATATATGAAAATAACAAAATATCGGCAAGGAGTGGCGCACAGTTCGTTCCCATAGGAATGCCGACAATTTGTTGAAAACGTCTACCTCGTCTTTACACTAAATCCATTGGATGTTGGATGTGTACTGATTAATATTTTAGTCTTAGATACAAGATTTTTTTTATTAGTTGTTATTGGCTTTGAATTAGCTGTCAGTAACTGCGAGTACTCTCGGATCTGTACTTAGTGTCCTTTTTGTTGTTAGGGATGAGGGATGGATAAATAGCCTGCCACGTCCGGTCTGTGTTTATATTTGATTGTCCCAAGACAGGAGCCTGTAGTTCAGTGGTTGTCGTTGGTTCATGTCTGTCATATTTGTTTTTCGTTAATTATTTTGTTATAAATTATGCCGTTAGTTTTCTCAATTGAATTGTTTCATATTTTTTGTCGGGGCCTTTTATAGCCGACTATACGGTATGGGTTTTTCTCTTTGTTGAAGGCCGTACGGTTGCCTATAATTGCTTACACCCACTTTATTTGAAATTTAGTGGATAGTTGTCTCATTGACAATCATACCTCATTTCCTTATTTTTATATTTAAAACCATTTGGAGAGGGCTTATCACATCAGATCAGTATTAAGCACAAATACAAATAACAAAAAGGCAAAGGACACAAATAACAGATCTCTAAGAGTACTTGCAAAAACTACAAGCTAATTCAAAGCCATAATTCACCTTATAAAAAAACCCTTTTCTCCATGACTGAAATCTCGCTCGGTATACATCTAACTTGTGTTAACAACTTTAAATCTTAAGAGCTTAAAAATTGTGCGCATAACACACACCTTTGAATATTGTCGTCCTCACAACGGTCAATATCATAAATATACACCATGCATTCAAAAAGACACGTTTTTCCTGCCTAAAGTAGGTGGTTCTCTCCAGACACTCCGGTTTCCACAACCAAACAACGAAAACTGACCGCCACGAAATAGCATAATAGTCCTGAAAGTACACGTTAAAGCTAGTATTTGACAGTTTTACTTATATTGATAAAAAAAGGGATGGATAATGCATGGAAATAAACATAGCCAAGGAAAAAATGTATCCTTTGGGATCCATCGTCTATAAAATTGCACAATTCCATCTTCTCCCGATACACCTTCTCTCTTAAACTGATGTTTGAACAGATTTTCTAGTTATAACTGTAACCAATACATTGCAAATTAAAGGCTACCGACTTCTATTATAATTTATCATTTTGTATTTGTAAATCGGATAAATATTTGAATAAAGGTAGTTATTGATTACTTAAAATGTCATCGTGAGATTGCTATTATCTGCATATTTCAATGTTAAGTGTTTTTTTCTTCAAAATCACATTGCATTTACTGCTGCTACCCTTCATATCATCCCTAAACGAAAATAATTGCAAGCTCCACGTAGGAATTTTTGCCTGAATGATACAAAGTATCAATAATTTTTTAGTTAAATGGAAGATGTGTTGGTCAACATCTTGAAATGCTGATCGTTTTTGCGCGGCCAGGTTGCAGTATATCCATTAAACATGTGTTATTTAGAAATAAATGGTTCGAATTGTGATATAGGTACAACACCGCCCGTAAGGAGTCAATTGACAATTTCGTTCATTTTAATTTATTTATACCGACTTTGCTACTAAATTTTACTATTCAGGTTTTAGTCTATTTATTACTCATAATTACTGTTTCTCGATATCTACTGCAGAAAAATAATA